AACACTTATCTGGGTGGAAAGCCATTAACCATTTTTTCTCCCAAAGGGCTAGTTTGTCCAGGTCAGACTGTAGGGTCCTAGCATCTTTTTCTGACGTAATTGTCAGATATACGATGGTATCATTCGCAAACAGTCTGACCGTGGAGTTCAAGCCAATTGGCATATCATTGATATAAAATAGGAACAGACTAGGCCCCAGTACAGATCCCTGGGGGACGCCGGATAAAACTGGTACATACTCAGATTTGACGCCTTCAACAAGTACTGATTGGGTTCTATTATTTAAGAAGTTTGATATCCAGGAAGTAGTTTTATCATCTATGCCATAATGACTGAGTTTGTTGGTAAGAAGAGAGTGACCTTATCAAATGCTTTGGAGAAATCCATAACTAACATATCCGATTGTTTTGAGGTGTCAAGAGTTTTGGTAATATCATCAACAAATTCTAAAAGTTGTGTTTCGCAGGATCTGAATTTTCGAAAACCATGTTGGCGAGGATACAAAATATTGTGATGATCTGAATGTGTCATGATGTGTGACACTATGACATGTTCCATTAACTTACAACAAATGCAAGTGAGTGAGATAGGTCTGTAATTTACAGGATCATATTTTTGGCCTTTTTTAAATATTGGAACAATATGGGCGGTTTTCCAATCTTGCGGAACAGTGCCAGATTGTAAGGACGAATTGAATATTATACTCAAGATAGGGGCAATTTCACTAGCCAATTCCTTCAAAACGCTTGTACTCAAGTCGTCTGGGCCTGGTGCTTTGGAACTATCAAGATTTTTTAGTAGTTTTTGAATACCACTTGGGGTAACGAGGGGGGTCTTCAGGGTTGGATATATATCTGATCTGGATTCATATAATTCTCTTTAGAAAAGATGTCAGGAGATATGTTTTTGGATGTAGAGAAAACTGATTCGAAATACTTATTGAGTAGGTTTGCTTTTGAATAGGAATCTGAAATGATCTTGCCATCCTCTTTTAGATGGGGGATACCTGTGAAGTCTGTTTTCTTGTGTTTTATGTAGGTCCAATTTTTTTTTCATGCATGTGAAAGTTCCATTGACCGAAGTCTCATCTGGAGTAACTACGATTTCTATGTATTTCCAATACTTCTGCCGAATCTTTGAGGTGAATTAAAAGCTACTTTAAAATTGTTAGATATGTTTGTTTCCAGGGCTCAGCTCTCACAAGCACCATCCACTAGATCCCAGTACGTTGATATCCGTGAGGCTCCTGTAGCAAGTGACGCTCCATTGTTGCCCTCTGTTTTTCAAGATACATTTGATTTTCAGCCCTCGCAACTCTTTCACCATTCATCAAAAGGTAATGTCTATAAAAAGAGTGTAGCAATGACAAGATAGTAGTCTATTTAAACATGAATAAAGATCTTTAACAAGCAAAAAGCTCCATGCCCCAGGATCAAAATGTATCGAAATATACTGGATGTTTTGTTTTGAACAACTGCAGATTTGATTCTTCATAGGTTGTCATTGTAATAGAACTGATGAACAAAACAGGTCATCTTCTACAATATACCAACTTTTTTCTTCCATTTCGATTACAGATATTGAGAAGAATAAAAACCAACAACATTTTCATGATGATAAAAGCAACGCATCAAAGATAAGGTAACCATGCCATCTCCGCTAACCTGTGGTACCAGTGTAGAATGTTTTTTCAGTGTACAAGGATGCAGATTTATAAAATGTTTCATAGAAAGAAATGTTGGAATATTGTTATTTCAGTACAATCAACAGGTCTGTAACATTGTACCAATGGACAGGTCTATTGCAATACAGTCTCACCTTTACTCTCATTACGGAGGCACCACCCTTTCGCAATTAGTCAGCAGAATTTTCATAAAATATCTACACGTAACAGAAAGCGTTTTTTATTGAAATTGTATGGATAAAAGTTACTAAACACAAGCTAAAAGCAAACAGGACACATAGTTTCATACAAACAGAGTGAAAGATTGAACCAAATACACACAAACAGTCTTTATAATTCATTTAGTTTACATTTTACAATAATTTTGATCCTGTTGAGAGTTGTCTCACTTGAAAAAATCGGAACTTTTTGCAGAGGGATAAAATTTATGCAATGACACTTATTTTCTTTACTGTACCAAAAATGACGGAAATAAATTAAATAACTGTATTTAATTGTCAATTTACTGTTCTTTTATGGAACACAATTACTCTCAATCATGTACACGTTGGACATCATTTGCTACTCCGCTTACGCATGGTATATTAACATGTCAGGTACATATGTAACCATACGCTATCGGACGGTATGCCGTTATTACGTGCACGCACATGCACTTGCCTTTTATAGGGATCTTGATATTTTACAAACCACTATTTTCACAGAGTTATTGTAATTGCCTTTGTGAACCCATTTATCTGACGGAGAGTAACTCGCAAGAGCTTGTGAACTACTGTTAGCATGTGATACATACAGGTGAGGTCGTTAAGCAAAACACATCAGTCTGCATTCCATGCACCTCATATACGACCTTCTTGAAGTCGTCTGATCGTGTGTCAGTGTTTTTCCGTATGATGTCTTTGTATCATAAGCTTTATTTCTGAAGTACGTCTGATTACACATTACCAAATTAAGTCTCGATATCGGTTGTTGACATATCATCGTCACACCCGGTGTTACTATAATTTACACTACGGTAATGGAATGCCCGATACGCAATACGGAAATGACGACACGAAAATACGACAAGAAAAACATGTGTATTACGAAGGGTGGGAAGTCCTTAATAGGCATGTAATGTATAGTTGCTATTTTCCAATTATCTGTCTAACTGTTTGATAAATGACATAATATATCAAATTCATAAATTTTGATTTTTTGTTTTATCTTATTTAAGCTTTATCTCTGCTTGAACAAATGTTATAGCAAGCATTACTTTTTTCCAGGCTCTAAGTACATGATGTCCCTGTTAAGTATATTCTACGATGGTAAAGATTTCATATAACTGTCTCCCTTACAAAATATTAAAAAGAAATAGTTTGTTCATCTCAAGTTCATTTGTAATATCTGAATGCAAATTGTTTTAAGTAAAATCTTCAAGACCCCATCAATAATCAGAGTGGACAGCTTTCACAGTTTTGCCAGCATTACTCCACTGAAGAGCAGTGTGAGGCAGGATACAGAAGTTGGGAGCGATGAGGACTTGTTTGACTCCAGAACTGACACTCTTCCTGTGGTATCAGTAAAAGACAAATTATTTTCACCAGCTCCACCGATCTGTAAGTTTCTTGTGGTTTGTATAATATTCTAGCTCATGTTTTGCTTCAAGATTTCAAATCATTTGGGAATTGTGTAAGAAACAATTCAATGAATTAAATTAAATTATATAAAGTTTCTATAAGATACGCTGTTGTTAGAATATTTGTAAAAAAGGTAACATTTGTGGTGTAACTTTAAAGGAATGGAAAAGAAGTTACAAAATGTGAAAAAATTCCTGTCAAGCACCATGAATAGATATTTCAGTAAATCATGACCATATTTGGACTTTAAGAAGCTGTATCAGGAAACGGTGGTTATTGAAAATCATTGGAACTGTAAGCCTGATTTTCATTTCTGACAGTAACCGCTCCAAGTTGTAATGGTATCAAGCTAAAACCAGTTGAAGAGCTGCGTTTCCTTTATTTATTCATCTTTTAACATTTTTTTTTCATCCACAAATATTGGGAAACTGCCAGGTATAGATGAAAGTAATAATTTCCCCTGTTTTTTTTACTATAGTAGTTCCTGACAGTTACCCTGTTCACCACAAACTTGGTATTGTCATCGATGTTTTCATGTAGGCAGACTGCAAGATCACTAGCTTCAGGTACACTGGCTCTGTTTTGGCTGAAGTTTTATTTACTGCTCTTCTGAATCAAAAGTTTAAGTGAGCTATTGTTAATTTGATTTTAAATCCAGCATTTTGTCATTTCACTTATTGTCTGTACTATTTTCACAAGTTTCCCCTGATTTCTTCCTCCTAAAATAATCCATGTTGAGCAATATTATAGGGTTATTAATCAGCTTATTCCATATTGGCCAAGTTATTAGGCCAGTGATACTTTGGCCTTATCGAGGGTGAAAAGTTTTAACAAAGGCAATGTATTTTAATATCATAAGATATTTGAATTAATGGTTGTATAGACTTGTGAATTAAGACAAAGTACATACATATATATCCTATGAAATATAAGTCATTTAGAGTAATGAGTAATAATAATAATAATATACAACATTTGATATAGCACCCTATCTAGCTAAACTAAGCTACTCTAAAACGCTTTACAGTACATAGGTATACAATTTATACAATCAATACAATCAGCATATTCATTAATCAAAACGATTTTGAGGAATGCACAGGAGCTACCTTTTCAGGCGTTAACTATTAATCCTATGCTACTTGGCTAATATCTCCCTATGGGTGTTGTGTATGCCTGTATGTGTGCTGGAGTTGTATTGTGTTTTGTTTGTAGTGGGACCGTGTTTCAGACGGTATCATTTATAGTGCCATCTCACTTGAATGCAACAGCATAGATACCGCAACATCCACCCCAGTCCATTTTATACTCCACCTGGGTTGATGGAGCTGTGAGGGCAGGGAAATACACTTCCTTTGAGTATTCCATGCGTATAACGACTTCGGAGATTGTAACCCTGGACGTCTGTTTGGAAGGCTGAAGTGTTAACCACTCAACCAATCTGCCCATATCAAAACGTTCAGCAGTGAACATCATCTTCGTAACTGTTATTTTGAGAAACTTTATTTCGGTATATGTTATATCCAGTTTTGAAAATATTTTGCAATTAATTTTGACTGGAAACAATTTATTGTTAGACCTCTTCAGTTATTCAGCTCCTAAACCATCTAGATTTAAATATTCAATATAATATAAGTGTGTTGAGTTGTTTACTTTACATGTTTCCTTAATTCAATGTAAATACAGCTGTCAAATACATGACCATATTCAAGGCATTCCCTTACTTCAACATTGTACAGTCTAAAGTATTTGATGATGTAAGTGTAGTCATGCAGAGCACAGTATTTTAGTTACTTAAAATTATTTTAGTTTTAAATTTTCAGACACTGTTTGTTTTGAGTTTCACTTTGTCACAACACACAGGTTATCTGTTGATCATTGCACATCCTCGATATCCAGGGGTTACGCTCACGTTCACTCTCTTCACCCCTGGAATATGTCATAGCAAAATTGAAGGCACGGAGATTGCTGTTTGATTGGTCTCGGGTAAAAAAAAAATATTACAAAGGAGAGACGCCAGACTTCAAAGCCTGTCAATGTTCACAGTTACATGACCCAGAGATACTTTTCATGTACATCAAAGGATCAAACTAGTCTTCCTGTCTCATCAACAAGGTGGCGCACACCGAACCTTCCATTTTCCACTTGAAGAGAGCGATAATGAGCGTAACCCCTGGATATCGAGGATGATCATTGCAAAATGAGACACCATGAAGATGATCACAAAAAGGCGGGGGGGGGGATGAGATTTCTTGTACATGTATTTTAATCAGACTATTGCTGTAGAAGATTAATTTGGTAGTCTCTGATGACTTTAGAAGAGGATACAGGGAAAACCCTGATTTTGCATTATAACCCACATGATTATCTGTGATCCTCATTTTATTCTCAAGAATTTGTCAGGTATGCTAATTGACTCTCAGTGTAAGGAGTTGTCTCAAAATATTTATCTAGCGAATCAAATATTGATGTATGATACAGTTAATTTCCTAAAGTAACTGCACATGCTGAGTGAGTAGAACAAGTTTTGCTGGAATAAATGTGTGCTCTGTATGTTGTTACGCTTCGCTCCTAGGTTTTCTACACTGACAAGCCCCTTGTGGTGTGTGCTCCCACAGGAGCTGGTAAGACGGTCATATTTGAGCTGGCCGTTGTTAGACTTATTATGAAGATGGAGAATGTTGTGGTTAGAGGTTTCAAGATTGTCTATAGTAAGTCATTGTAACAACATTACTTTTGAAAATAAGTTAATGTTTTACATTATTTAAAACTCAAGTGAATGTTTGATGCTAAACATCAAGTTTTAATCAGAAAAAAATTGAAACCCCAGAGTGGTCATCATCAAAATTAGGCAAAGGTTAGACATTTGGTTTAGACCGTATCTTGTTACCTTACATGTGTTGTATTTATCATCAATGTATGAATCACATACACTTTTGCAACTAGAAGCAATCTGGACCATATACAGTACTTGTTTATGAATATAGAGATAAGGAAAGGCACCAGCCTAGTCACTGATAACCACCTATTTTCTACTGACCACCATGTCTTTTATTACTTAGTAAATCCTCAGAAATAGAAAAACATAACTACAGGTGGAAAAATATTGAGATACCGTGCCAACTAAAAAGTGTTTTTTTGACGAGGTCTTGTGCTAAAGCCGACTTATTACAGTGATGAACCAGTGATATTAGCTGGAGCGTTGGACAAGTAATCTGTGCTTTTCGGTCTTATTCCTAAAGGCAGCTTTTGAAAAAGAAGTGACTTCAATTACAAACTGTTGCACGTTTATACACTTGTGAAAAGTACCAGTTGATAACAACACAAAACTGGATTATATATCGCTCTGTTTGTGTCTTGAGAAATTTTAAACTATTTTCCAACGTACCTTAAGATTAATTCTGGTTTCAGGGAGTGATCTATTTAGAAATTTTTAAATCAAAATACCAGAAATTAGATTGACTTCTGAAATACGGCTTATTCCCTACTATGGTAATGATATAATGTTTTGTTTTAAGTGGCACCCATCAAGGCCTTATGCAGTGAGAGATTACAGGACTGGACGGACAAGTTTGAGTCATTTGGCCTGAAGTGTAAAGAACTAACTGGTGATACAGAAATAGATAATTATTATGAGCTGCAGGAAGTGAATGTGATCCTCACAACCCCTGTAAGTGTGAAACATAATCTTGTCTGAATTCATCTAGAGTTTAGTCAATAGAATAGAAACATTGTAAAACTATCTGAAGGAAACCTAAGAAATTAGTTTGCTTATAAATATATATTGCCAAAATTTGAGTTTGATTGTCACAAGATAACTCCCTGCCATGGAGCACAAATATGACTCTGAAAACCATAATAAGGCATCGCAAACGATACAAATCTCATCACATGCTTAAGTTGGTTGAAAGTTCTAATTTTTCTATAAAACCTTACAATAAAAACTCCATTAAAGCATTATCATACTTGAATGATATATGAACTTTGATCAATAAAGAAATATACACATATCCCTATCAACTTAATCTCTAATGCACATATTATATTAAATGCATCATTTTGAGACACTGACATACAGAGTTTGTGATATCAAAATGAATGTGTTGTAGGAGAAATGGGACAGCCTGACACGACGCTGGCGGGACAACAAATATATTGTCCAGTCAGTGTGCCTCTTCCTTATAGATGAGGTATTAACTGTTTTCTAACTGTTCAGTGTTCAGGATAGATAAATCATTAATTAAGTTACTGTAGTGTGCTTTTGTGTGATGGTGTAGAGTTTTAGCGTATTTGTCACAAGTTCATTCTCAGTGATTATAAACTTCTCTTTTTTATTGAATCATAATGATTATGAAAATCTATCAATATCATTACCGTATCTATGCAAAATATGACATCTGACTAAGATAGGGACAAAGGGGACACATACTGTATGTGATAGTAAGTGTCCATAGTCTTGATTTCAGAAGTAAAGCTTTGGATATCAATAATATTTATGAATATTTGTTCCTGAAAGTTAACCCTAGCCAAAGCAATTTTTTTTCTCCAATCTACTGTGATTTTAAATATTACCTTAATAATAAAATCTCAATGGGAGAAGTGAAGATGTTCATTGACATCTGCACCAAAACTTTTTCAAAGACATCAACTTTGTGAATAATTAGATATCTAGCATGAAATGTTTTGCTAAGAATGTGCAGATTTGTGAAATGTCACTACAAATCCATGTTCTGAATGACAATGTGCGGGGAGCGACAATAGAGGCTGTGATCAGCAGGATGAAGACTGTACAGGTCTCCCTATCTCACTCTAACACTGAGCAACCCCTACCCAAACTCCGTTTCATAGCTGTGTCTGCCACCATACCCAATATCGAGGATGTACGTACAGAATTTTGTGTTAGAATGAATAATCTTGAGGATTACTTGTTGGAGGCCAGGAATATTTCATTGTCCCAAAAATGTACAGAATTTGTAGAAAAATAGTTTTTTATTTGAAAAGTGTAAATGTTTTTCTTGATCTACTGCTTTTGGATGATTTTTACTCTCATACACATATAAAAAATGTAGAGATTTACCCTATTAATAACGTAAACACGTATTCACCAAATAAACATGTACATGTACTTCTAGACAGTAATCTGATATAAACAGCTGAACTTTGGATGATAGAAAAACTTTGTACATTGGAATTTCTGTTCCTAGTTCACTTGCATGAAACTTGTGTACATACAGTATCTGAAAATTGAAAGACAGGATATCAAATTCTAAGCTGACTGTTGTGTAGCACTCCAATTTAAAAATGAAGTTTGATCACAGACCAATTAAGCTATATTTCCATCATTGAGCTCCTTGATTTATTGTTTATAGGCACTGTAGCATTACATTTAGGCATCAACAGGGATGTTTGTGTTGTAGATTGCAGAGTGGATGGGTGAGAACCATCAAGCAGCAACATTTTACGTATTTTAAGTATTCTTTATCTATAATATATATTTTTAAGTTAATATCTTTTCTTTTTCTTTTAATTTAAAAGTCTCCAGCCAAGTGTTGTGTGGAATGTACCGACCGGGTGGTATAGGAATAAAGTATCGTACAGGGCTACCGAACACGCACATAGCAGGGGATAGTTTACTTTAGCAGCGTGTTCTCGTTTGGGTATGTGTACAGCGGAGTGGGCTGTGATGAGTGCCGCGACGATAGTGGCATCCAGGTCATCCGTGACATAGTCGCAGTCTGTGATAGGGCAGGCTACAGCTGGCATTGTGGAGTTCAGTATCACTGGCCGTGTTCATAAATGGAACTCTGTTCCGTTTACTTTAAAATATGTTTATTCAGCAATGAACACGGTCTGAAAAGACACAAAGTGGTGGTAAATTGCACGATAATAATTAGCATGAATTATGTATAGAAACTAATCATAACATACAATCCTCTAGAAATAAAATATAACCATTGCCGGGAAATATTCCTAACATGAACTCAATCGAAAACATTTGGGTCATATAATAAAAAGATGACAAAAAACATACCGACAAATATGTTGGACTTTTGGAATGATTGGCAAAGGAATTTGTACTCATTAAGCAAATCGTTCTACAAATTACTTAATCCTAGTACACCTAACAACACTGTAGCAGTGATCAAAAAAGGGAACGCTATACAAAATATTAGTCTAGGAATGGGTGAAGGCAGGCGTGTAGCTACCATGTAAGTCAATAAGCCCGGGCTTGCACATGATTTTGACAAGTATAGGTTTTCATGACGTTATTTTTTCTTGCTGATACTATAAAGTGGAGTTTAAGTTTTGAATATATAGTATACATATGTAATTCCTCAGATATGATACAGTGTTAATAGTTAGTACAAAAATGTATGAAGTTTAGAAATGTCCATTGCATTAATGGACAGTTCCAGGCGGAACTAAACTGCTCGATTGAGTAAATTGAGAAACTCACGCC